CCTCGGCCCCGCCGCCTCCGCCGCGCCCGGGCCGTCTCCGCGCGGGGCCTGCCACTCCGCCGCTTCCTCCTCTCCCATTGGCCCCTGGGAGACCGAAGCCGCTATTGTTAATAGATTGGGCGGGGCCCAATCCAGGGAGGGTCGGGTCTTTAAAAGCTTTTTTTGCCCGGTTCCAAGATGGCGCTCATGACCACGCAGAGAAAGCAGCGTGAAGCCGCAGCTCTGCCATCACTCAAGATGGCTGCCCCCATCAAGATGACCGCGGTGTGCGGGGGGGAAGGGGCGGCATGAGGGTCTGAGACGGTAAGGGCGACTGCAGCGCTGCACGCCTCGCTTGGGGCCTAGGGATGAGGAGCATGAAGACTAGAAAGCTGGGTGAGGTCTGTGATGGGGCTCGGGTTAGACAGCGGGGGAAGGGACGGGGTGACAGGTGGGGTGGGGGAGCAAAGACGGGATGGGGCTGCGTCCGGGATTCAGTCTCCCCATCGGTGCCCTCTCCCCACACTCTTCTCGTTCCAGGGCTAGTGTCGGACCATGTGGGAGTTTCGGGGGCTGGGGAGTCGGCTGATGGGGGGTGCGGCCCGTGGGGGGTAGAGGGAGGAATAGCATCTTCCCTGGGCCAGCCCCGGCCCCTCCCCGCCTCCTGGACTCAAATGGGGAACACGTTGGGCCTGGCACCGATGGGGGCTTTGCCCCGCCGGAGCCCCCGTCGAGAGGAACCTCTGCCCAACCCCGGGAGCTTCGATGAGCTGCACCGCCTGTGCAAAGGTGAGAACTTGGCATTTGGGTGTCTCAGGCTGAAGGTTTAGAGGAGGGGGGTGGTCTTGAATGCTGGGTGTGCAGAGGTGCGAGCACAGAAGGGGAGATCACAGATGGGGCTTCCATCCTCAGGAAGAGCCAGGTGCCCCAATGGAGTGTACCTGAAAGGAGGCCGTTTCCTCCAAAGCGCTTTCTGTGGGACGGGTGGGGTCTACTTCTTGGAGCAGGGGTTCCTTGTCTGCTTATTCCTTCCCTTCCCTCCCCTCCCCACCTTCAGATGTATTCCCAGGACAGATGGAGGGTGTGAAGCTGGTTGTCAACAAGGTTCTGAGCAGCCATTTCCAGGTGCTCCCACTTCTTGATTCCCTCCTCACTGTTCCTCCTGCCTGTCCCCCATTCTCTCTTCTGTCCTTTGTACCCCTGCCTTGGCCAGGCCCCATGTGATAGAGGAGGGAGGAAGCGGGGCTCCTTAACTCCTTTGCTTGTGGGACTTGTTGCCTTTAATCAGGTGGCCCGCTGTATATGTTGGAATATTTGGTATTCTTAAAAGGCCTGGATGGGGAGAGGATGCAGGGTGAGATGGGGGATCGATGCAGCAAGAATGCTCTCCTCCACTGGCTTCTCTTCCCTCAGGTGGCTCACACCGTGCACATGAGTGCTCTTGGCCTGCCCGGCTATCACCTCCATGCAGCCTACGCAGGGGACTGGCAACTTAGCCCCACTGAGGTGAGGGCTCCACACACCTGGGTCATCTCCCTGAAAAGCCACCTTTAGGAGGAGGAAATGTGTATGTTATGGGGAAGAATGGGCAGGGCACCTACTAGCTTCTCTGGGTTTCTTCTGAATGGTGGAGGGTACCGACACTTTCTGTGTGATTGAGCTGGAGTTTTTCTTTGTGCTCCACTAGGGGGCGCTGGGTGCTGTGAAAGAAAGCACATGGTGTTTGGATTTATGCAGAGTGGAACCTTAGCCCAGCTTAGTCTGACTGTCTAGCTCTTCAACAGGTTTTCCCCACTGTGGTAGGGGACTTGGACAGCAGTGGCAGCCTTAACGCCCAGGTCCTGCTCCTCTTGGCAGAACGGCTCCGAGCCAAGGCCGTCTTCCAGGTGACCCATGATTCCTGCCTCCATCCAAGGGTTTCTTTCCTCCATGAATGTCCTGCTCTGGAGGCTCCAGGGGGAGGAGCAGAGGGAACGGTGATGGCAGAGAGAGAGGGAGCTCTTATTTCCCTCTCTCACTACCCAGACACAGCAGTCCAAGTTCCTGACATGGCAATTTGATGGCGAGTACCGGGGAGATGACTACACAGCCACTCTGACCCTCGGAAATCCTGACTTGATTGGGGAATCGGGTGAGAAATTGGGACAGGGTTCTTTCTATCTTGGCTGCCTACTGCTGATGTTGGCTATGCCTTTTCATCATCTGTACATTTCAGGGATTAAGAGAAGAAAGCATGCAGGCAGGCTGGGGTGGGGCTTCTAGGGGGAAGAGGCAGGCCTGCGTGTTGTCTCCAGGCCTGACTCTGTGTCTCCCACTCCCAGTGATCGTGGTCGCTCACTTCCTGCAGAGCCTCACTCATCGGTTGGTGTTGGGAGGAGAGTTGGTTTATCACCGGCGGCCAGGCGAAGAGGGGGCCATCTTGACACTGGCGGGGAAGTATTCGGGTACGGGGTGAGAGGGGTATGATGGGGAGGGGAAATTCTGGGCTCGGCTGGGTTTCCTGGCCTGTGATGCTCCTGTCCTCCTGCCCTTGATTTTCACAGCTGTACACTGGGTAGCTACGTTGAATGTGGGATCAGGTGGGGCCCATGCAAGTTATTATCACAGAGCGAATGAACAGGTGAGATGACTGATCCCATCCCCCACCCAGCACGTCAGTCCTGAGCTTGTGCCCACCCTGGAGCTCCATACTGCTGACATACTGTTCTTCCTGCCCGCATTTCACATACATTTCATGCATGCCTTCATCCTGCTGACCTCCGTCAGGACCCCTGCAGTCTTCACAGAGACAGACCCCTCTCTCATCCTTGCCCATGGTCCTCAGGTTCAGGTTGGAGTGGAGTTTGAGGCAAACACGAGGCTACAAGACACAACCTTCTCCTTTGGTTACCACCTGACCCTGGCCCAGGCCAACATGGTGTTTAGAGGTGAGGATGATTGAGATTGGGGGGTGGGAAGAGGGTGGGAAGCTCCGCCGTACTTCTCCTGACCCCTTTCTCCAAGTCCAGCTAAGTAACCAAGTTGTTCTCCTCCCCACAGGCTGGGTGGACAGTAACTGGTGTGTGGGTGCAGTGCTGGAAAAGAAGGTGCCCCCGCTGCCCGTCACCCTCGCCCTCGGGGCCTTCCTCAACCACTGGCGCAACAGATTCCACTGTGGCTTCAGCATCACTGTGGGCTGAGGTGGTTCCGGAGCCCCTCCAGCAGCTGCAAGCTCTGAGTCAGGTGCCCAGGGCCAGAGACTAGGCCCCTCTCCAGAACCCACCTTGCTGGGTGACCTCTGGGCCTGAGGAGCAGAGTGGGGGACAGGATCACGCCCTCCTCAGAACTGGAGCTGCCACAGGGCGCTGATGAGTCGGTGGCTTGAGGGCCCACCTCCGCCGCCAGCGCGTCATCTGTCTGTGCTGTGGCTCTGGACTGAGGAAGAAGGGTTAGGGGTCTGCCTGGCTGAGTTGTCTCCCTCATGGCCCCCCTTCACCTCCCTGTGGATTAAAGCTCCTCACCTGTTCCTCTTCAGAGCAGGAAAGTCTACATGGAACGAGCACCCATCCTGTTTTCCATCCCAGAGCCTTCCAAGGCTGGGAAAGAATCTCGACCTCAGAAAGTGGGGCCACCCATTCCCAGAAGGAGCTTCCTTCTTCCCCACCTTCTGTGCTTCCAGAGAACACTTTTACCACCGTGGCCACCCCCGCTCCCCCACGACTGCATGAAGAGGCAGTTAGTGCTTTAGGCTTTCATTAAAACCACATGGCTCCCTTCTGGTCCCAGCGCTTGCCCTTCCCAGTCCAGTGTGTCCGGGGGGCCGGGGCAGGCGCGCTGGCTCAGCTGCAGATCTCCTGGAGCAGAGGCATCATGGCAGACAGCCCCTGGATGTGCTGGATTTGGGGTCCGTACGCATTGTTAATGCTCCAGAGCTCAGCCAGCAGGCCTAGCAGCTTCGCATACAGAAATCTTTGGAGGCGGAGGTAGTGGGGTCACTGGGGAAAGAAGGGAAATATAGCAGCCGAGTCCTGTCCTGAGGCCCGATTCCCCAAACAGCCCCTCAGTGAAGCTAGGTCTGAACACCAGAGGAAACCATGACAGACTTAGTAGAGGTTCCAGAGGTCCCCAAGGGCCTTTGGCTGACACTGTCTTCTCACCATGCCATTTTGAACCCAGAGCTCTGAGGGTCCCTAATGAAGAAAGCCCCAGACTTGGTGAGAACTTCAGCTGTGTGGAATCTGAAGATCCAGCCTTCCAGAGTGGTTCCAGCAGGGGTGTGTGCTGTGGCCTAAGGCACCCCTCTTCCAGCCGGGAGGGAAGGGAGCGCACCTTTGGGCCTGGGGAGGGGACTGCTGAGCCAGGCGTGTTGGCCGTGAGGCTGTGAATGAGCATGATTCCGAGGGGGATGAAAAATGGAAGGGCGGGCTCTGCGCAGAGGGAAAGGTGGGAGAGTGAGTGGCCTTCATGGAAGGCTGCGCATCTGGAGAGGCTGGATGGTGAGGTGTGGGTGTCACCAGTCTCAGGAATGCTGTGATACAGAGTCTGTGAGCAACCTCTCTGCATCTCTTCTGAATAAAACATCTGGAAAAACTGAGATGAAACAGTGGTAGGAGCTTTGGGTGCTAGAACATATGAGAAGGGAGGGAAGGAGCAGACCCTCAAGGGACCTGGGTTCCCAAAGGCAAGGCCAGTAAAAAGCATTCATGCTCAGTGTCCCCTTAATGCCTTTCCTTCCCTGATGCAGCCTCCAAGCCCCAGTCCCCGTACCAATCCCGGGGCCCTGGCCGCTGGCCTTTGATGTAGCTCTGCAGAGCCAGTGCCATCTCCTCCCTCTGGGTAACCCTAGGCCAGTCTGTAAGAGGGAGCAGGAAGGACAGGTGGGGGTGGGGTGGGCCTGCACAGCGCCCCAGGGGGTGGAGGCTGGGGGAGACACGTTCTGCAGGTTGGAGGACTAACAGGCCTGGGATGGATGGATTCAAGGAGCTGGGAGTTGGAGGTGTTGGGAGAAAGCTTCTGGGCTTTGGGGGATGCTCACCAAGAGAGAAGAGGGCCATGGCAGCCATGAGCATATACTCAGACTTCTGGAGCCGCAGTCACCTCAGTGTCCCATGGAAGCAAAAGAGCAGCTCTAAAAACTTTGTGGAGCCCCACTGTGGGAGAGACTAGGCTTAGGAGCCTTCAGGTCCCCTTGCCTCACCCACCGCACAAGGACACATGCCCTGTACTGTCCTAGCACCATCTCACCATGAGCTCCATCTTCTATTGTGTAGCAAAGAGGCCCACAGAGGAAGCTCTGTGTTTGGAGACAGAAAGTGGTGCTGAGTGTGATGTGACAGATTTTGATAGCTGCTCCCTTGAGAAGGGAGATCTGGTCCTCCATGGTTAGGGCCCTGTGGAGAGCAGGACACAGGGCACTTTAGACTCGAGCCTGAAGTGCAGAGAGAGGAACTCCCACTTCTGACTGAGACACAAAAACAGAGTTGGGAATTCAAGACCTGGTGCTCGGAAAGGCTGAGGGGTGGGTTAGTTTGGTCAGTGGCTTTTTGTTTTGTTCTGTTTCTTTTGGGGGGATGTTATAATTTACTGCAGTGTTTTCTTCCTGAGAGGTAAGGGGAGGTCACCCACCAGAAGAGGGGCAGGTCCTTGGTGAACTTGATGATTTGCTGTGCCATGAATGTGTTGATGTCTGCGAAGTGTGTGAGCAGAGGCAGCACGGGCCAGGGTGGGCAAGCACCAGTGGTGGGTGAACAGCTGGGCTGGAGGCTGCAACGGTCAGAGCCTGAGTGAGGCCCAGGCCAGGGCTCTCCTTTTGGTCTCTCCAGCCTTGGAAGGGTCTGGGTCTGAGAAGCCTGCCTCACTGGGGTTCCAGAGGAGTCCCGTCCTCTGAATAGGTGCATGACACACAGCCCTCCCTCAGGCCATCCTCCAGCCCAAGTCCTGTGAGTGCTCACCCTGAACTGCACAAACTGGTCGAACATGGTACCCACGTGGCGGGCGTGGGCCCCAGGATGGTCTGGACAAGCTAGCTCTGTTTCTTTTTTTTCAACATATCTTTATTGATTTCAGAGAGAGGAAAGGAGAGGGAGAGAGAGAGAGAGAGAAACATCAATGATGAGAGAGTCACTGATGGAGCCCGCAACCCCGGCATGTGCCCTGACCGGGAATTGAACCCCGATTGCCTGGATCCTAGGTCGACGCTCAACCGCTGAGCAGCGCCTGGCTGGGCTAGCTCTGTTTCTTGCTCAGCTGCTCAGGTGCTTGCTGTGCTTGGTGCTGGGCCTGCTTTGCTCACCATGACGCCAGGGCTTCTGCAGACATGACCACTGTGCCCAGGCAAGAGACACGACAAAGCTGTTGACATCAGTAAAGAGCACCTCTCTCTGCCAGCCCCTGGTCTGGGACCCTGGCCACCTTGCACAGTGAAGGCTATGGGAAGGGAGTCTGGAGGCCTCCTTGGGTACAGCTTAAGTCCTAGAGGCTCCAGTGGGGGTCTTGTCCACATTCCCCAGCCTGTGGGACAACAGCAGAGAGCAAGGCACTGTGGTGGGGACAGTGTGAGGAGGTCTGACTTCTGCAGGAATGTTGAGGGAGGGCTCTGGATACCTAAGACATCGCCTATGTCTATACAGCACAATTTGAAAAGCTCCGAGGTAAAATCTGATGGGCTGAAACATAGGATTTGTTACCTATAGGTGTTTTGTTTTGTTTTTAATTTTTTTGTTAATTCTCACCTGAGGATATTTTTTCCATTGCTTTTAACGAAGAGTAGAAGGGAGGGCGGGAGAGAGAGCGAAACATGGATGTGAGAGAGGCACGTTGACTGCTTGCTTCCTGAAAACGTGACTGGGGGCAGGGAATGAACCCCCAACAGAGGCAGGTGCCCTTGACTGGGAATCGAACATGACCCTTTGGTGCACAGGTTGATGCTCTAACCACTTAGCAACACTGGCCAGGGCCATAGGTATTTTTATCCATATTTTTCAGAAATGTAAAACAGGCTGAGATTCCACTGACAGGGCCAAGGTCACAAAATACTTAAGTGATGTAGATTGAATTAAAATCAAGATTGTTTGACTTCTGCAGTTTTCATGGCTCACAATGAGACATAATGGCAACAGCAAGGATTGGGAGTCAGACAGGAGAGTCTGAATCTCAGCTGCAGCTTTTACACTGAGTGAACCCTAGGCAAGCTGACTTGTGTGAACATAAGTTACATTATCTGTTTGGAACCTAGCCTCATTACCTGGCACACAGAAAGAGCATTATGTAATTAAGTCAACAATTATCAAGTACCTACTAAGTGACAGGAACTATCCCTGAGATAGGTGAGAAAAGCAAGCCAGGGCCATTTCACAAGAGCATTCCTGGAGAGGGAATGGCCAGAGCCAGTGCAGAGGTCCCGAGGAGGGTGCCAGGTGTATCTGAGGATGGCACCAGAGCCAGTGTGGCTGGGATGAATTGAGCAAGGGGTACAGAGTCATGAGAGGTGGCATGGGGGAGCTAGACTGTGAGATCATTGCTTTTCAGGGAGAGTAGAAGGGGGGGGGGGAGAGAGAAACACGGATATGAGAGAGGCACATCAACTGCCCTAAAGAGAGATGAGCAGAATAGCAACATTATCTGACTTTTAAAGAGCTTACTCGGCCTGCTAGGTGGGGAGCACTCTGTGGGAACAGGGACAAGCAGAGAGAGGTGGTCTGTGGGTTCCTGGGATGGGAAGGGCTGACTCCGTCCTTCCTCATGCCAGCACCCAGGCACTTCTGCAGCCTGCAGGCCAGGCAGTGGTGCCTCTGGGCCTTGTTGACCTTACAGCTCCCAGTGGAAAGGTAGGTGAGACTGTGCTTTTGCCAACTGTCCGTCTGTGAGAGACAGAGGTGAGGGTTGGGGATGGCAGTGAACGGGTGGTAGGTGAGGGGCGGAGAGGACATGGCCTGAAAGCATCTGGTGACACAGGCTACTCCGAGCTGTGCCCACAGGGCCATGAGGGCAGCTCAGGCACAAACACACCTAGCATCTTCGTGGAGGCCCAAGGTCGCCTGGGGAAGCCTGGCGCTTTGCAGTAAGTGAGCAGAATACGTGCTCTTGACTAAGGGGTTGTGTCCCTGGGACAAACGTTGCCCTCCCCTCCATTATTACACCAGCTATAGTGTGGAGCATGGTGACAGCAGCGATCTAGCCTCAGGGCATTAGGCTCCAGGACACAGGAGTGAGGCATCTGCACACTCCCAGCTCGGGGCAGGCTGGAAGCTGCCTGGAAGGAAGTGGGGGCTTGTTTCTACTGGGAGAAGACTCTCACCTGAAGAAACCCTTGCAGCCCTCATAAGTCAGGGCATGGAAGTGATAGCCCATGGCCCGGTCCCCACAGACCACACAGTTCCTCGGCTCAGCATCCCCACTGGCCATGGCTTCTGGGGTTGGGGTGGCTGTCACAGCCTCTTCCGCAGAGCTCCTTCCTGGACATACCCTGGGCCTGACCCCCTGCATTACCTGTATTTTATTGTTTTTAGTTTATGGCCCCCAGATTTCCTACCTGCTCTCTTAGGCAGCATGCCACCTGCAGGCCACAAAATCTAGTGTGGGATGTGTCTCCCCAAACTCCCACTCCGCCCTCCTCTCCTCTTGATCTCAGGAGCTCCCCGTGTTAGGGGTTACGGCCTCGGTACCTGGAAAACAAGGATCTTCTGTTGTGTGTGAGCTCCAGTTCTCAGAGACTGTGTAGGTAGGGGACAGACTCTGGACCCTGGGCAAAGGCCTGGGGGAGGTTTTCTGAGCATGCCCATGGCACTGGTTGCTGGCACATGGGGAGGGACCCTGGTGGGTGGGGATCTCATGAGTCATTGGAAATTGCTCCTAACCAGACCACGAAGATTTTCCCTACTGCTGAGCTTCAGGCTAGATCAGCAGCCTCTGTGTGGATCCTGGGCCCACTGGGCAGAGAGGGAAAGACAGAGCAAGCTTTTCACATACAGAATGTCAACAGTAAAAGGACAGGTGTAACAAGTGCATGAGACTCCCTAAAGGAAGGCTCTTAGAGACTGCAGTCTAGTTAAGAGCCCACACAGGGCTAGAGAGGTCCTGCTTCCTAACTAGGGAGGGCCAAGGACTTGCATGGTTGCTGATAAATTAGAGGCAGTGGGATTGACTTGGGGACTCATGCCAGAGCAGACTTCATGGGTGTATGACCTGTGCAGTCACAACCCTGCTCTGAGAGGGCTCTTGTGCTCAGTTTAATGCTCTGATGTTGCTGTCTTGAAATTCTTAGTGATTTTTGAAGAAGGGGCTCTGCATTTTTGTTTTTCACGGAGCCCTGCAAATTACATACCTGTTCCTGTCCAATTAATAAGCTTAAGAATCAGAAGTAGCCTAGCCGGGCGTGGCTCAGCGGTTGAGCATCGGCCTAGGATCCAGGAGATCTTGGTTTGATTCCCAGTCATGGCACATGCCTGGGTTGTGGGCTAGATCCCCAGTGGGGGGGCGTGCAGGAGGCAGCCAATCAATGACTCTCTCATCATTGATGTTTCTATCTCTCTATCTCTTCCTCTCTCTGAAATCAATAAAGATAACATATAAGAAAAAAGAATCAGAAGTAGGTGTCTTCACTGGGGTTGTCTCATGTTTTGTTGACACTGAAGAATATTTTTGCAAGTGCAAGAAGTATATACTCTCCCAACATCTATGAACAGAAGGTGACTTCCATATATATGTATTTTATTGATTTCAGAAAGGGAGAGAGTGAGCGTAAGAGTGAGAGAACATTGATAAGTTGCCTCATATACATACCCCAACTGGGATCAAACCCACAACCAAGGTATGTGCCCTGACTGGGAATTGAGCCCATGACTCTCTGGTGTACAGGAGACGCTCCAACCAACTGAGCCACACCAGCCAGGGCTAGAAAAAGTAATTTCTAAAGTATTTGGATGTATGTTGGTTAAATGTGATCCCACACTCACTGGATAAAGCCCAAGTCTTGGTCTTTCAATGTGAAAGCTTCTTGTCCCTGGGTGTTTGTTGTTTCTGCACCGGCAGTTTCTCCCACTGGAGATAAGCTGTCGTGCCTTCTGTTTCCTCAGCTAAGAATTAAATTATAAGTAGTTTTGCCCTACGGATGAGTCAAAAACCAAAGTGCAGGCTAGAGTCATAGAGAGAGGGAGAGGGAGGGGGAAAGAGGGAGGGAGAGGGAGAGAGAGAAAAAGGGAAAGGGAGAGAGAGGGAGGAGGGAGAGAGGAAGAGGGAGGGAGGGAGAGAGAGAGCAAGAGGGAGGGGGAAAGAGAGAGGGAAGAGACTAAGTTTAAAGGTCTTGAGGATGAGTAGGCAGAACCCTATCTCTCAAAGACCACATCCAACGATGCATAACTTACTGCATTTGAAACAGGCTGAGTTTCAGAGTGCAGGGGCTTGGATCTGGTCCCGCGAGGTAGTGAGCCTACTTATGTGTATCACTGTTGGTATCTTTGCTTGAGTGAGATTCTGTTAGAATTCACGCTAATTCACTCAATCAACAGGTACTGACTTAGGACCTGCTGTGTGTGAGACTAGGGGCAAAAAGATGAGTAAGCTGCTCTTTGTCCCCGTGGAGTTTAAATATGCTGGTGGGGGAGATACACCTTTAAGCAGGTATAAGGAAATACAGCTGGGTCACTGACAGTGCTGTGAACAGAAGAGGGACAGCTAGTCCTGCTCTGGCAGAGGGGTGCTGAGGAGGAGGCAGAAGGGCTGCCTGGAGGAGCTGGTTTTTAGTGAGGATAATGAGGACTTGGCCAGTTCAGGCAGAGGGTATAATCTGAGAAGTTCAAGGAGCCAGATACAGAAAAGTAGATAAGGTAGAAGCACAAGCAGGCTTCTCCTGCTGGCGCAGCGTTGCAGGCAGGGCATGGCAGGAGAGAGGTCCGGAGATGTAGGAGGCCGTCCCCCGCCCTCAGGCTTGTCTCATGACCTGCATGTGCCCGCTTCCTCTGAGCTGAGTGCAGGCCCTCGCTGGGTACCACTCACTACTGCAGCCGCCTGTGCGATGTTCTCCCTTCGACCAGCCTCCTCCCTCCAACCCACCCATCCAAAGGCTCTAGATGTGCTTAAGCCTTTTAGAGTTCCCTGAATGAGCTGTGCTCACCCACCTCCAAACATCTGACCTTGTTGTTCTGTCTGGTTGGAATCGCCACCTGGCCCCTCCCCTGGTCCTCCTGATCCTCTTGCCCTTCAGGCCTGAGCACAGAGGGTCACCTCTGGGAGCCTGGGGGCTAGAGCTGTGCTTGTGCACTCCCCACACTGCAGAGCAATGTCAACCAACTGGGAGTTGTTGAAGTCTTTTATTTTGGATCTTTAGTGTCTTGTGTACTCCTGGCACATACAATAAGTGTTTATGGAATTTATAAGTTAAATGGGCTACGATATGAATTAAGGTCTGATTCCAAACTCATACTTTTTCCAAGTGGCATCATGTTCTTATCTGTGATGCAGCCACTCATTCAGCAAATGCCTAACAGGTATCTGCTTTGTGCCAGGCATGCTCCAGCAATGCGGGGTCCACGCTGACATCTGCATACATTCGTTCCCCTTTAGTGGCTTTCCTCCCTAGCTGGTTACCCTTTGCTGTCCTGACTCTCTGACCAGGTACTCCTTTCTGACTTCTGAACTGCTGCTACTTGCCATTCCTATCTGCCACATTTGCATTTGACAAGTGGTGACCTCACTCAGGTGTCCCTTGAGCCAGATTTCCAGTCTGGGTCTGCTCTGACCTGTTTGGCACCCCAGGTTCTGGCACAAACACTGGTTCTGGCTACCCTGCCTCCTTTCCTTTGCACCATATAATCTGGTTTCAATCTTCTTTCTCTACATTCACCAGTGGTCTCCCTGGCCTGTTGAATTCAATGGGCTTTCTCTCGTTTCTCTCAATCAACCTCCCTACTGCTTCGACTCCCTGACAAACACGCTGTTTTCTTTGGAACTCTTTCTCACTGTTCCTGGTTCTCCACCTTCCTTCCTTTCTTTCTTTTTTTTTAATCTTCATCCGAGAATATTTTTTCTATTCCTTTTCAGGGAGAGTGAGAAGGGGGGGGTGCATCAATGTGAGAAAGACACATTGATTGGTTGCCTCCTGCACACTCCCCAACCTGGGCGCTGGATGTAGCCTGCAACTGAGGTATGTGCCCTTGGCCAGAATCAAACCCAGTACCCTTCAGTCCGAAGGCCAATGCTCTAACCACTGAACCAAACTGGCTAGGGCTAAGTTTTACGCTTTTTAAAAAATATGTTTTTATTGATTTTTTAGAGTGAGAGGAAGGGAGAGGGAGAGAAACATTGATTTGAGAAACATCAATTGCTTGACCCCTGTATGTACTCTGACCAGAAACCAAACTTGCAACCTGAGTTTTATCCTTCTTTTAAGATCCAACACAAACCCTATGTTCCCCAGGAAGCTTTTGACTCTTTTGGTCCTGAACAATGTCTTTCTTCTTTAACCTATTACTATTTATTATTATATAACTTACTGTTGTAGTGTACTTGGGCACTTAATCACTTATGGTAGGGGTGGGCAGTTTATGGCTTGTGAGCCAAATCTGGCCTGTGGCCTGTTTTACACAGCCTTTGAGCTAAGAATGTTTGTTTTTTTAATTAAAACTTTAAAAGAAAAAAAAATTCATAATACCTGACAATTATATGAAATTCATACTTTAGTGTCCACAAATAAAGTTTTATTAGACTATAGCCACACTTATTTGTTTACATATTGTCTATGACTGCTGTCAAACTATAAGGAGAGACTTGAAGTTTCAACAGAGACCATAAGCCATTTACTCTCTGGCTGTTACAGGAAAAGCTTGCTGACCTCTGATCTAGGATCTTGAATTCCCTTTATAATCTTTGCATAGCTGTTTAAGAACTTTGGAGAGGTCTGTTTCACTAAAGACAATTTTTTCCACGCAAATTAGCAGTTCATTAGAAAGGTGGGGGAAGCCAGAAGAGTGGCTGAATAGGGGCCCCTGATGAGAAACTTAGTAACCTAGGCAACCAGATTCCCACTGGAAAGTGAGAGTCAGGATGGGGAAAGACGAAGTCTTTTTTTCCATCTTCTGTTTTTCTGACCTGGCAGAGACTATGTACAAGCACAGAGGGTAGAGCTAGAGAGAGTATTTGAGGTCTTATCTGAATCTTGTTGAGAAGACATCAGTGGTTGCTGGCTGAGAGAAGCTCAGCTATTAATGACTTAGTTATTACAGTCCAGGAAAGAAACTATTAAAAGGGTGTCACAGCTAAAGCTGAAAGTGTTTGGCTTTGGCTGACTGAAGCTGTAAGTAGGCTAAGCGGTTTTACAATGCCCAGAAGTGTCACAGGCAAGAGAACTGGAAGGATTTCCTTAAAGCTGGAAGGAAACCTAGATATTCAGATAAACAGGAATAGCAATT